GACCTAGACATGGGCCTGTAGACGGGAGAGAAGACGGTATGTGACTGACAGTAGACCTAGACAGGGGCCTGTAGACGGGAGAGAAGACGGTATGTGACTGACAGTAGACCTAGACATGGGCCTGTAGACGGGAGAGAAGACGGTATGTGACTGACAGTAGAACTAGACATGGGCTGTAGACGGGAGAGAAGACGGTATGTGACTGACAGTAGACCTAGACGGGAGAGAAAACGGTATGTGACTGACAGTAGAACTAGACATGGGCTGTAGACGGGAGAGAAGACGGTATGTGACTGACAGGAGACCTAGACATGGGCTGTAGACGGGAGAGAAGACGGTATGTGACTGACAGTAGACCTAGACGGGAGAGAAGAGGGTATGTGACTGACAGTAGACCTAGACAGGAGAGAAGAGGCTATGTGACTGACAGTAGACCTATAGACGGGAGAGAAGACGGTATGTAACTGACAGTAGACCTGGACATGGGCTGTAGACGGGAAAGTAGACAGTATGTGACTGACAGGCTGACGTTGAGTACTTGTTAATAAAAATTATATATTAAAAATAACTGGTTTATATTTTTCAAATAGTGACAGTCTATGAAATCCAAAGCATGAGCTAAGTGCAGACGTAGCACTGACACACCTTTTTGCAGGACCAAACTGAGTCAAGATGGAAAATAGAAGTCCAAAACCTGGATCACGATTTACATATTGTCTCACTCATTTCTTCTTCTGTCATTTCTTCAGTCGTCTGAGACAGGATGACCAACAGAAGTTCAAAAAGTAGATCGCGATTTGGACAACGTCTCACTAATTTCTTCTTCTGTCATTTCTTCAGTCGTAGAAAGAGGGTGAGGCTGTGAGTGGCTGACAAGAATGTGATCGTCGTCAGAAGTCAAGAGATAACGTGAGTGGCTGACGAGGATAAAATTAGATGAGTAACGAGATGGACAAACAATTGTAACGGCAGGCGACAGCCATATAGTAACATATGGATACTATATGTTACTACTATAGATATAGTATAGTAAGATATATATATATAAACTTGTAATATCATTCAAATAGTGACGCAATTTCTGCAAATTTCACTCNACAGTAGATGTAGACGGGAGAGAAGAGGGTATGTGACTGACAGTAGACCTAGACATGGACCTGTATAGACGGGAAAGTAGACAGTATGTGACTGACAGGCTGACGTTGAGTACTTGTTAATAAAAATTATATATTAATAATAACTGGTTTATATTTTCCAAATAGTGACAGTCTATGAAACCAAAGAAATGAGCATAGTGCAGACGTAGCACTGATACATTTTTCTGCAGGACCAAACTGAGTCAAGATGGAAAATAGAAGTCCAAAACCTGGATCACGATTTAGACATTGTCTCACTCATTTCTTTTTCTGTCATTTCTTCAGTCGTAGAGAGAGGGAGGGGCTGTGAGTGGCTGACAAGAATGTGATCGTCATCAGAAGTCAAGAGATAACGTGAGTGGCTGACGAGGATAAAATTAGATGAGTAACGAGATGGACAAACAATTGTAACGGCAGGCGACAGCCATATAGTAACATATGGATACTATATGTTACTACTATAGATATAGTATAGTAAGATATATATATATAAACTTGTAATATCATTCAAATAGTGACGCAATTTCTGCAAATTTCACTCACTGATAGCCCTCATTCTGGGCTGTCCCACACCAGGGCGAAAGTGCATCTTTATGCGGACAGAGATTCACTGATGTCTCTGAGTGCGGAATTGATTTTTTGAGAAAATTTGGCAATGCACGGGGATATATATTTGTAAAACAATACCAGGATATGAGATTACCGATTTAATACCCGCAGCACCGAAATTATTTCCCCTGAAAACTTTTTGAACATGGAATTTTGGAATTGTTAAAATTGTACCTGGATTTTTTTCAGTTGTTCAAATATTTATTTCACAAAAATTACTGTATCCAGAGAGTGGGATGATGCTGCTTGTTCCCTTGTGGAGTGGGCGTCTTATTTTTTGAGGTCTGGACACAGAGGGAAGGAGGGACACAGAGAAAAGGAGGGACACAGAGGGGAGGAGGGACACAGAGGGGAGGAGGGACACAGAGGGAAGGAGGGACACAGAGAAAAGGAGGGACACAGAGGGGAGGAGGGACACAGAGGGGAGGAGGGACACAGAGGGAAGGAGGGACACAGAGAAAAGGAGGGACACAGAGGGGAGGAGGGACACAGAGGGGAGGAGGGACACAGAGGGAAGGAGGGACACAGAGAAAAGGAGGGACACAGAGGGGAGGAGGGACACAGAGGGGAGGAGGGACACAGAGGGAAGGAGGGACACAGAGAAAAGGAGGGACACAGAGGGGAGGAGGGACACAGAGGGGAGGAGGGACACAGAGGGAAGGAGGGACACAGAGAAAAGGAGGGACACAGAGGGGAGGAGGGACACAGAGGGGAGGAGGGACACAGAGGGAAGGAGGGACACAGAGAAAAGGAGGGACACAGAGGGGAGGAGGGACACAGAGGGGAGGAGGGACACAGAGGGAAGGAGGGACACAGAGAAAAGGAGGGACACAGAGGGGAGGAGGGACACAGAGGGGAGGAGGGACACAGAGGGAAGGAGGGNTGTATAAGATGTTCTCGAGTATAAGTTTGTATAAGATGTTCTCGAGTATAAGTTTGTATAAGATGTTCTCGAGTATAAGTTTGTATAAGATGTTCTCGAGTATAACCTGCCAGGTAAATAACGTTAATTAATCAATGTTTCAACGAAATTAACTTGTTTCAACGGTTGTTTCCTTTCCAACAGAAGCATACATGGAGTGCAACATTATTACTCTTTTTTTAAATTAATCAATGTTTTTTCAACGTCATTTGCCAGGCTGAAACGTACTCGGAGCGGCTGAAACAATTACGGGAGCTAAAGCATTTATTAATGGTTCACCAGAGAGAAATGTCAGATTGGCAGATCATTTCAACAGTGAAATGAAAAATGATGTAGATCAAAAACTCTTTCTTCTCCAAATCGACAATGAACATTGTACGAGCTACGAGACTGCAGTGGAAATCTATCTTAAAACAGTACTTAATCAGCTCGAAGGTAAAATCAATGATACGATGTGATGGTTCCAGAATAATTTATATATAACGAAAAACAATTGTTAAACTCCAGTTGCAATAGTTTGAAAGATCGGTGTATTTTATTATCATATGATTTTGAATGCATATCGGGAGAATAATGATATTGCCTGCACACTTTACATATTATAAATTTGGGTAATTTACTTTTTTATTGAATGATTGCTTCTTTCCGTTCATTGATCACATTACGCATTCTTCAAAGTGTTATTTAAAAAAAATATGATCAGTACTCAGTGCAGTGAGTGACAGAGAGCGCATTTTCTCGTCGTGAAGTCACGGACGGACGGACGGACAGACATGACGAGCAGAATAGCGCCTTTTTCCATAACTGAGAAAATGCGCTAATATGTGAAAATGAAGCACAATAGAGTCTTTTTAGAGCATTTTTTCATGTATGAAAAAATGCGCTATTGTGCTCATCATGTCGGTCTGTCTGTCCGTCCGTCTGTCTGTCTGTCCGTCCGTGACTTCACGTTTTCGTTGACGAGAAAATGCGCTAATAAGGGGTAATTATTCTAAACAAGTCGCTGGTGAGTGTGTGGTTTTGTCATGGCAGCAGACCTCATGCAGAAGCTATGTTTTGCCTCCCTCACATACTAACCTAAGTCTTCTTCATTTTTGGTGGAACACCTTTTTTTCGTTCCAAAAAACATGGAAACCGGATTAAGAACGACTAAAGTGCGGACTTTTTCGTGACGCGGTGACTTAGGTAAGCGTAGCTCGAGGATTAATATAAGCTCTGTTAATAATATCGTTCATTTGAAGGATTAACTGCTAGCCCTGGGGGGCTCAAGGGAGCTGGTATCAGCAACGTTATTCCAGTGCAGGAATTAAGCGTTTGAATAGGAACCTCGGACACAAAGGATCGTCCCACAAAATTGCAATTTTCTCTTCCTAAATTAACTGAGCTTTACAAATAATAAATGGATTATAAGCTGCTGTGTGTGTTGGATGTCCAGCATACCGTCACAGTGAATAGATTTATATGAGTGTTTTCTGAATTAATGAGAATCGAAGCTTTTTAGTGCATTTTCTCATTTATGGAAAAAAATGCACTATTGTGCTCGCCATGTCCGTCCGTCTGTCCGTCTGTGACTTCACGTTTTCGTCGACGAGAAAATGCGCCCTCTGTCACTCACTGCAGTGAGTACTGAGTTATATTTTTTAAGTACTTTTCTCAGCACCACAAATGCAATAAGAAAACCTTGCGGGTGTTGACGTTTTCTAGTAATTTCTTGCAAAAAAATATAATTTCTTCCTTATAACGTATTGCTTCCTACAAATTACATCTATTTTTATTGCTTACATCGAAATTCCCGTGCAATGAATATTTCGAAGCAATAGGCGTCAGTCTGGCGAGCACATTGGCCTGGAGAAATTGATAGCCAAACCTAAAACGGTCCCAAGCTAATTTTTTACAGAACAAGAGTCGTTAGTTGTACATCAGTTGTAACTGATGTACAACTAGCGACTCCTGTTAGTTGTACATCAGTTGTAACTGGCAGGGTGAACATCAGTTGTAAATTGCAGGGTGTACATCAGTTGCATTCATTAACTGACAGTGGTATATCAGTTGTAACGGGCAGTGGTACATCAGTTGTATTCATTAACTGGCAGTGGTACATCAGTTGTATTCATTAACTGGCAGTGGTACATCAGTTGTATTCATTATCTCGCAGTGGTACATCAGTTGCATTCATTAACTGGCGGTGGGACATCAGTTGTATTAATAAGGAGTATTCATTAATTGAATACCAGTTTGCAGCGATAAACATCACGTATCCATCCTTTATAACATTAAAATTATTAACAATTTGCACATACATGAGTGAGTTACCAAGTTTTCAGCAAAGGAATATAACACAATCATATATATATATGAGGTGGATTCACTGTGCATTTTTGAAACTTTTACTATATATGCAACTCCAAGAATGCACTTAGAATCCACTTCATTAGCCCCGACGTAGCTCCGTCTTGTCGAGGCATCAAGCAGCTTAATAGTCAGGAATAATAGCAGCTAACAAACTGGATGAATTGAGCCAGAAACGACACGGAGTTAGGGAACGAACAAGCTAAGGAGTCGAAAATCCTGTGCTTGAATAGCTAAGAAGTTGGAGAATTTGAGCTGGAACAGTTAAGGAGTCGGAGAACCTGAACTAGAACAGCTAAGGATTCGGAGAACCAGAACTGCAACAGCTAAGGATTCGGAGAACCTGAGCTGGAACAGCTAAGGAGGCGGAGAACCTGAACTTGAACAGCTAAGGAGTCGAAGAATTTCAGCCGGAACAGCTAAGGAGGCGGAGATCTTGAGCTAGAACAGCTAAGGAGTCGGAGAACCTGAACTAGAACAGCTAAGGAGTCGCAGATCTTGAACTAGAACAGCTAAGGAGTCGGAGATCTTGAGCTAGAACAGCTAAGGAGTCGGAGATCTTGAGCTAGAACAGCTAAGGACTCGGAGATCTTGAGCTAGAACAGCTAAGGACTCGGAGATCTTGAGCTAGAACAGCTAAGGACTCGGAGATCCTGAGCTGGAACAGCTAAGTAGTCGGAGATCCTGAACTAGAACAGCTAAGGAGCCGGAGATCCTGAACTAGAACAGCTAAGGAGTCGGAGATCCTGAACTAGAACAGCTAAGGAGTCGGAGATCCTGAACTAGAACAGCTAAGGAGTTGGAGATCCTGAACTAGAACAGCTATGGAGTCGGAGATCCTGAACTAGAACAGCTAAGGAGTCGGAGATCCTGAACTAGAACAGCTAAGGATTCAGAGATCCTGAGCTGAAACAGCTAAGGAGTCGGAGATCCTGAGCTGGAACAGCTAAGGATTCAGAGATCCTGAGCTGAAACAGCTAAGGAGTCAGAGAACCTGAGCTGGAACAGCTAAGGAGACGGAGAATTTGAGCTGGAACAGCTAAGGAGTCGGAGAACCTCAGCTGGAACAGCTAAGGAGTCGGAGAACCAGAGCTGAAACAGCTAAGGAGTCGGAGAACCTGAGCCGGAACAGCTAAGGAGTCAGAGAACCTGAGCTGGAACAGCTGAGGAGTCGGAGAATTTGAACTGGAACAGCTAAGGGCGAATGACTTCGAGCGTGGGTATAATCAAGTGACCGCGGAGTGTCACTGTCGTAACAAATGCAAATTAATGCTTGAATGAGAGCACACATGTGGAATTAGTGTGAGGTTCTTGCTGATTAGAGTGACAGATGTGATCTACAGAGACAGGTTAGAGATTACAGAGACAGGTTTGATATTACAGAGATAGGTTTGAGATGACAGAGACAGGTTTGAGATACAGAGACAGGTTTGAGATTACAGAGACAGATGTGATCTACAGAGACAGGTTTGAGATACAGAGACAGGTTTGATATTACAGAGACAGGTTTGAGATTACAGAGACAGATGTGATCTACAGAGACAGGTTTGAGATTACAGAGACAGGTTTGATATTACAGAGACAGGTTTGAGATTACAGAGACATGTTTGAGATTACAGAAACAGGTTTGAGATTACAGAGAGAGGTTTGAGAGTAAAGAGAAATGTTAGAGATTACAGAAAAAGAAGATAATAGAAAATGAGAAACTGATCAAATTCAACGAGTGTCTAGCAGAAAAAAATCCTAATATAGAAAGAGATAGTAATGCATTAAATATTTTGAGCGCAATAAAAACTATTGGTCGTACATATTATTCGTAAACCCTTTTCTCACGCATACAAGAAGCGTTCGTAAATCAATTTTTTCACAAAAGTCATGTAACATGTACAGTCAATAGGGAAACTTAATGCGGGAAAACCAGCACAGGGTTTCCAGATGGGTCCACTTTGGGACAAATTCCACGATTTATTTTTTTTTTCAATAGCGTTAGCCTTTAAAAATTTATGATAGCGGTTGATAATTATTGTATTGTACCTAGTACAAAGTAAAGTAAAGTTTAGTTGTGCACCGCGACTTACAAATTTACTAGAAAATATTGGATTGTGGGCCATTTTTGGACTTTGTCCCGCGGACTTTTGGCCATCTGTCAACCCTGTAAACCATGCCACACCCACTGACCTGCCACCAATGACGTCACCAATGACGTCACCGCAGCCGCTGCTACCAGCAGCGCCATGGCGCTCGTTCCCTTGATGCTCGCTCACTCTAGGTCGTAAAGCTCAGAGTTCATTGCCAACACCAAAGAACACATATTAACTTTTCTTTCAGAGAACACTGAGGAACGATACAGATGTGTAGGCCTTGAGGTTCTAATAGTTCACATAACATGAACACACATTTTTCTGACATGAAACCGTACCATGTTTGTAAGTTTAACCGCTGTCTGGTAGACAAAGAAAGATTAATCACTTTATTGTTATTATTACTAATATTTACATGTAATTATATAACCATTTCATACAGTAAATGACTTCAACGGAAGATTAAGCAATAATTCTGTTGATGGAACCACGGGGTTGATAACGTATGAACAAGGAGCTTTATGCGTGTAGA